ATTCCTGCCAGAGGAGCTGTGGTACCTGCAGCTTCTCATGGCCTCGGGGCGCCAGAAAGAGCGCTTTTTGCAGATTCCCTCATGTTTTGTGGGAAAATAGGCTCAATATTTAATAGGCCGTTATCAATACATGGTGTCAACATGTCATCTGTGCTGAGACGCACTGCGTGTTAATATTTGGAAGTCTCACTTCTCAAGCTCTTTGTTGCCGGCTTAAATAAGACCACTGATGTTTCCAAGGTTGTGTCCATTTATTTGATCTTTGAGTGAGACGCTGCAGATTCAGCTTTTCCAGTATCTCCACTCCCCTTGAGGAATCATTTGATTTCTCGTTGAAAAAATACTTAACTGTGATGTTTGTCTAACAGAAAATATCAGCTCTGTTGTTAATGTTCCCAAATTGTTGATTCTTTTGCTGTGACCTGTGATTTGTTTTGTTTTGTTTTTTAAATACATACCCATACACACACATATATTATTGAACGGTAGCTGGATGTATGAGAAATTAGGCAGAGGGAGTTATTTTGGAAGGTTTCTTACAGCAGATGTTTTCTTCCCTTTCATGTGTAAGCCAAGACCCTGACATCTGTGGCAGAGGAAGAACTTTTTGTTTCTACCTTATTCCTCATCCCCAGATCAGCCAGATTGCGTTTCTATTTGCAGATAACCGGCTTCAGAGCAAGGCTTTTTTCTTTCTTTATTCCAAGGACTTTCAAGGAGAGAAATTGGGAAATAAGGCCAAAAATGACATTTGCAAGAAACAGAATTGGTGGAAAACACATGATTCCTTAGACCAGGGAGGGGGGGAGATGAAACACCCCAAATCCTAAAAACGAGGTGGCCTCTCTGTTAAGTAGTGCAAGATAGTTAATGGTTTAAGGAGATGTGAAGGATGCACGAAGTGCCAGGCACTTTGCACCAGAGGCAGATAAACCTTTTTTGCAGCCAGGGCAGCTGAAAGTCAATGTTCATGCAGAGCTAGAGAAATCAGGCACTGAAATACTCCACTTCAGCAGGTTTTAGCTCATAAAAAATCCAGCCCGGTGCCTAACTTTGCTTTGTCTTTTTATACAAAAGAGCCTTTTCTTGAAAGTTTGCAGGGTTCTTTTTTCCCTTGGGGTATTTTAGAAGACCATATCCCTTGCAGATTTGTGTGCAGCACTTTCTATCTACATACACTTAGGTACTTTCATTGGATCACCCTGGTGCAGCTGTCAGTGGGTTTATGTAGCTTGAATTTCCCCATCTCTTTAGAAATAGGATTGCCGTGACCAGAATCACGTTAACCACCTTTCCAGCCTTATGGATAACTTACTCAGGGATGTGCTTGCAAATTTTTCTTGGTGAATGCATGGAGTATTAAGCCAGAGAGCGTTCTCCCACTTGCAACTGCAGAAGCTCAATGCTGGCATTGCTTCGTCCCTCTGCGTTTGCAACCCAGACATCTGCAGAGCAAGCAGCTGCTTTGCGTGGGCTCTGCTTTACTGCCATCGTATAAAAGGGAGCGGAGCCGGTGCTATCCACTGCTCTCCCTTCGGCTCCCAGACCTCAAAGAGATGTTAAAGCCCCCCAGCCGCTTCCTTTATCCTGCAGTTCTTTCCAGTCGCTGAACCTCAGAGAGGTTTACGATGCAAACATGTTTTGCAGGTAGAATTTTTCCCCAAATCCCTTCTTTTCACGCTTCACTATCCTACTTTTATAGCAACGCAGTGTCATTATCTGCACGGTTTACTGACCTGCTTTAACTCCCCTCTGTGCCAAAAGCAGTAGGGGCTTTGACTTGCTATTGCTTTCCAAAGAAAGTGGGTGTAAAATAATTTTAATAGGGTGATGCTGGGTGGGGAATGGCAGTAATTGTACCAAACCTACCCGGCAAGCTTTACCTTGGAAATGCAATTTACCTTGGGAGTCCTTTCTTATGAAATCTGCCAAACATCATCTTCGTTGTCTGATGCAATTACCTCTTCTGCACAAGGCAGCCCTGGCAGCCTCCAAAACGTTAAAGCTCTCATTTTAATCTGTCCTTCAGCCATTTTCCAACATTGTCGCTCTACATTCCTGCTCTTGGGAATGGCACGTTTCCTTGCATTAATTGATAATCTGCTTTCATTTTTATTTTTCATGAGGAAAAATCCCATCTTACCCTGGATATGTGAACTCCCTCCGTGTATTCAGCAGAGCTGCCACACTCTACTTTGTTTAAAATTGCTTACGATCCTCCCCCTCGAGTTGTACTTCCACAGCTGCTTGTCTCCCAGTAGAAAGGACTTGAGTTGTCGGTAGTACTTAACAAGCAAGGTATTTGGTTTATGTCTCCCTAACTGCTAGAAAACCAAGCTGACTCTTCAGAAACTAATGATTCAGGTCATCTTCTACATGTGCTTTGGGGGCTGTAGCATATTTTTCTGTTGAGATGGCAGAGGGTGGGAGTGAGATGTAATTCGCTCTGGCTGAAACTTGGGTTCCCAGGTGAAAAACCCTAATTTTTTTGTAGAAGGTGTTTGAGCTGTCGTAAGGTGCATGTTGCAAGCAGATACGCGTTTTGAGAGTCTGCTTGCTTATGTATTGCTGATATTGCTTAAACGGTGAAAGGATTCAAGCTTATGAATCAACAGCTAGATCTACAAATGCCTCGAAAGAAATGATCATCCAGATCCCATAATCGCTGCCATCGTGCTCTCCAGATACGCATTTCTTGTGATTCCAAATTAATGCAAGCCTCTGTTAATCATGGAAACATCTATCGGTCTTTCAATGGAGACGTGAATAACTTACAAAGAGCCGAGCAGCACTGACAAACACATCGATGGGGAAAAGATGAATTCCCATACTCAGGCTTCTGACTGATGAAGGTGATCATTCATCTGTCGACTTGTCGGTGCAAGCCTGAGGCTGTCCCAGTCTCTGGTTTTATTTTTATTTTGGTAGCTGGAAAGGAGTTAATGCTGATGCCAGCCTCAGCTATAGGATTCAGGAAAAAAAATACTAAATTTCATAATACTGATGGCATTTTTGCTACAGAGATTTGGTATCTGTCCACATGAAAACCCAGATCTGTAGGATCCCCCCGTACATCATTGGTTTTCGAGGGGTTTTTTTCAGATGGTGAAAGGACCACAAGTTTACATATATAAGCATGTAAACCTTCCCTGTTACCCGCTGAAGCAAAATCAGCTGCAGTGTTGATACTAAACAAGGGGCTGTTTTGCGTGGACAGCAGTGCTGTTTGGCCTTGGCATCTGCCATTTTGTGGTGGAAAATTCTAGGAAAATGCAAAGTTGGGACTCTTTGCTTAGAATAGCCGCTGGGATGCCTTGCAGCCACTACTGCAAACCCAAGATGTCCCACGCAGAGCAGGTAAACCACAGCACAACGTCTTCTGCTGGCCTGAAAGTGGCCGCACACCTCCTGGTTCCTGCAGACTTTCCACATTTTCAGGGCCCTGCTCCCAGGCAGGACCATCAGGAAACACAGAGCAGGGAGGCGTTCAGATGGGTATCTGAATTGCAAAGATCCTTTCTCCTCTACATCTGTTGTACAAAACAGAGGAATCTTTGCAGTACTTCCTGCAGAAGTACCTGATGTATTTCCTTTGATTTTTTTTGCTAGGACAATATTTTATCTAATTCTGCCATATATCTTTTAGCATGCCACTTGGGAAGCGGAGCCGTTATACGTTTAAAGAAAGCTCCCTGTACAGTAACTGGGGATTTTTTTTTTCAGATCTGTTGTCCATGCACGCAGTTTGCAATCTCATCCTTTTTGGTCTGGATCCATGAATCCAGGACCGACAAAGCCGGCTGTTGCATTTGTGGGTGCGCACGCTGTGCAGTGTACGTCAGCGGTGCCTTGCCACATACTCAGTTACAGCGAAGGTAGGAAACAAACTGCACATTTTCTGTAATTCTCCTGCTTGCAGTTCTAGAGGCACCAAGTCTCTATGAGAAGATTGTAAAAAAAAGTGCTTTTTCTTTCAAAAACAAAGATGGCTGGCTTCTTCCCTGATTAGAAGTTATCAGGAGGAGTTTGAGCAGGGTTACAACGGATCATATAATTTTCTATTTGACAGTACCCGCTGAATGTGTGCTCTTCCATCCAGACCATGAAACCGTGCCGTGTTACGCAGTTGGGATTTTTAGTATCTTGCTATATCAATCTGTCGTGCTAGACAGGATAGGAGGAGCCTGAACCTGAACTCCTCTTGACAAGCTGTTTTATCTCTTCTAGAGAAGAAGGCTGAGCAGTGATTTACCTCCTCCGTCGGCTCCGGTTCATGGCTGTGGTGTGGGGGAGTTTGGAGCCTGCAGCGCTTGTCCCAGAGCTGATGCTGGCACTAAAGGGGTCGATAAAATTGGGTGTTGTGTAGTGTAACTGGGTGGGGGTCCCGGAGCTGCCGCTCGTCGGCAGCCGCTCTCCCGATGGGCTCCTTGCCAGTCGGGTCACTGCAGAGAGGAGCCGTCGCCTATCCCCGGCCTGCCCATCAGCTGTGCTGTGAGGCAGCGATGCCAGCGCTGGGGGAGCTCAGGATGTGTTTCCGTGATTATCCGGCTGCGTGGCTGTAGGCACTCCCCCGTCCCAGGGCGAGCCGAGCCCAGGGCGGCTGTGCCGGTAAGTAGAGCCGACAGCGACCCAGCCCCGCAGCCATCCTGCCACCAGCAGCAAAGCTAACTGGGGCACGTCTATACGTGCTGTGGTTTGCAGTGTCACCTTCTGCGACACTGGGTAAGACATGGATTCCCCCAGGGATCCCTGAGTCTCTTGGGAGAGACTGTGCAGCGCTAGAACTGTCTCATTATTGTTGCTGCAAAAGTGCAGGCTTGAAAAAAAATGTATAAATGAACCTGCTTGAGTGGTCTCCTGCATCCCAACCACGGGCTCATGGTGTGTCTGCTCTTCTGGGCAAAAGCTGGCTGCGGAGCTAGGGCCAGAGAAATGGTTTTTGGTCTCTGCCACTGCTGACCAGGCATGGGGAAGCACCCTCCCGTCGCATGACTGGTGGGGCTGGGAGGGGAGCAGAGGCAGTTAACAAAAGTACAGATTGCAACCCATATCTGCAGGTGCCAAGGTAGGAGGGTGTTGATTGTGCAGATGAATTCCCCTCTGGCCACAGTTTTGGGCTGGCGAGTCACTGTTGTTCATAATCCTGGTAGATCTCCTTTTCCCACCACCGTCTTTTCTCTGTCCTAGGGGCTGACGTTTGAGGAGGTGGAGAGCTTCTTCACTTTTCTGAAGAACATAAATGACGTGGACACAGCTTTGAGCTTCTACCACATGGCTGGAGCTTCGCTTGATAAAGGTATTAAAACTTGCAAGACAGGCAGGCGCTGAAAGCTTGAGGGAGCACGACTCGTGCCATGTCTTTGAAGTTGGGAAGGTGTCGAACGAGCCCAGGCTGACAGGTTAAATATGTGCCGAAATCGCAGTTCCTCCCTGTAATGAGAGGTTTAACTTGCTACATCCACGGATAAAGAGGGATTTCAGGCTTTATTACCTCTCCAGTTGTAGATATAGAGGGAGAAGAAGGCTAAAATGTATAGCCTGAATAGATTAGGAAGTAATAGCTGGCTGAATAAACTTCAGAGCTGGTGTTTCCTGGGGCACTTGGTAATAGTTTGGTTTATTGATCAGACCAATCCATATCCTCTTTCATCTCATCGTGTTTTTCCTTTTCTGAGCTAATCCGTATCAGGTATGTCCTCAGATCTGACACACTGATTTATTTTTTTTTTATTTTTTTAAAAAAGGAAAAAAAGAAAAAAAATACTGTACATTAAAAAAATAAATAAATAAAAAGTCCAGCTCTCTGCTGCCAGGATCTATTACAAGTGCATGCTTTTCTTTTCTAGATCTTTTTTTAAGAGTTGGGTTTTAAAAAAACACTCAGACTGGGAATATAAAAAAAAGATGGCAAGCTCATTAAAAGTTTTTTAGGCTAAGTGGAAACCTTTGTCTACTAGAAAGTTAAAGCTGATGTATTTAGGCAGCTGCGAAATTAAATGTTTTGGAAGTAAGCTATTCTTCCAACCACTGACATTAATAGGTTTTTGAGCAGTGGCATTACAAAGGGAGTCAAACGTGTCATCTTGTGTGTGTCAACAGCCCTCCTCATCTTTGATTTTTTGGGGGAAATCATCTGTACTCTTTGTTTTAGGTCACAGTTAACTTAAAATTAAAAGAGCCTGATAGGATTTTCTTCCATTTAAAAGTAAAAAATATGAAGTGCGGGTGTGCTGCTGCTACGCAGAGCCCTTTCTGCAGCACCCTGTGCGGAGGTAATAGCCCAGTGAATCCAATTTACTCAGTGTCTACAGTAAATTAGCAATTGCCCAGTTGTGGAATGTGTGTTTGTGGAGTATTTAGGTCTGCCCGCAGTTGGTAAATGAGTGTGATTGCTGTTTAATTATGTGCAATTAATGAGCTTGTGCTGGGGCCACAGCTGTTGAGCTTGGGAGTCTTTTGGCTGGAGTGAGAAGCCTTGGGAAGGCTTGGTGGTGTGCAGGGCATGGCTTCCAACCGTTCATGAGCCCGGCTCTCCCTGGATCCCCGTCCCTGCCGGCAGGCTGTTGGGAGAGATTTCCTCAGGCTCGGGCAGAAGAGGAGGGCTGTCCTGCAAATCCCCTCCTCGCGTGTGCCTGGTAGCTGACACGAATCACCCCTGGCGTCCTTCTGTGCTGCTCAACCCAGAGATGCTCATGCCTATCTGGCAGGAGGCATGGAGAGAGCGTTTTGCTGTGGTGCTAACGAAGGCACAAAGCACACTGCAGCGATACGCCTGGCTTTTGCAGCAGGCATCTGTCTGCTTCCATGCCTTAAATGGTCTGTGCATTATCTGTTTCCATATGCGTGCACTCCGAGTCTGGATATTGCACCCACAAATCAAATAAGCAATAAATGGGGCGTACTCTTCCAAAAGTCAAGCTTTCACAAGGTTGCTTATTAAAAACCAACAAATGTAAAAATTACTCCTCATATGGGGAGGAAGAAGAGGATTGTGTATCAAATAAATTGCTGCTAACCTAATGCAGCAAATGTTGTTATAATTTTGAAAGGCCATTGCAAATTTAAGAGGGAAAAATTATGGATGGCACCAAACAGCCATATCTTGACAACCTGTTTTCTGTGTTAAATTAAAGCAGCCTCTTCTAAAAAGGATCATAAGCCTGTATTTTAATGACACGTAGAGTAACACACAGATTATTTGTTAGTCCAGCTTTCATTTTACCAGAAACATAATAGCTGTCATTCTCTTAAATCATAAGCATTACTTAGAAAACTTTCCCAGCCTGGGCTTACAGCTGGCAGCAGGACAGGAGCCGAATTCGTCACTTATTCCCCTTTTGAGGCGAGGGTGCGAATGGCACTTTTTTTTTTTTTTTGGTGCTGTCTGTAGGCAGAACTTTCCAAGCAGACGTTCTGCCGGCAGCGGCAGAGCACCACGGTATAACTCCTTTGTGTTTTAGGGCAAGGCGCAGATGTGCTTCGCTAGAGATGGGCCAAACCGAGAGGAGACGGCTGAGCCCGCTGCTCACTCTGGTGGCTCAGCTGGCTCGGAGCGGGGCTGGAGCCCAGGAGGGGTTAATGGAAGATCATTTTATTTGACATGTGGAGCTTGAAACGGCTGCAGACTTGACAGGGAATTTGGAAGGAGGTAGAGGTGAGTTTTGAGTGCAGCATGTATTCATCATCGAATCGCTGCTTGCTTCAATCTGCCTTCGGAGCTGGATGAAAGAAATCAGTCCCCATGGAGGCACAGCTCAGATCGCTCCTCTGGAGCAATGGCATCTGGTCAGCGCTGGTAGGTGGGTGGGGAGGACTTCCACAGGGTAGATGAGGTTGGCAGGGCTCTCTAGAGACCCTCTAGTCCAACATGGTCACCGACAGCAGTTCGCCCAGGGCCACCTACAGTCAGGATTTGGGTATCTCCGAGGATGGAGGTGTCACAGCCTCTCTGGGTGCGTAAGAGAGCCTGGATGAGTGCTGGCGGCAATCTGTGAGGAGAGTTGAACGATGAACCCTGGTGTCCTGCGGAAGGCAAGTCAGGGTCACGAGTTGTCACTTTTGCTGCCCTCACACCAGTGTGTTGACGTGTGCGTCCTGGTGGAGAGGGACCGTGGAAGTGCTTGACACCGTGTCCTCAAGCAGGAGGGGTCTGGAGCTCGCCTGCCCTTTGGTTTTAGTACACGCGCAACAACGGTGCGGTGTTTGCTGAGCACCGATGCAGCGAGTTGCTGGGCAAAGCTCCATTGCAGCAGAGGGTGCCTGTCCACCAGGCTTTGAGAAATCAGCTTGGTAACCCTGAGGACAAGCTCTCCACAGACCAACAGCCCCTGGAAGATGCTGAATACATTTCAGTTTAGAAACTACTTTATGGGTTGGAATCTCCTTTCTTTACTTATTTATGACTGTGAATATTACGTAAACAGTGGATTGGCTCTGCCTTTGGTCTGGTGGCTCTGCTTTTTACCCAGAAGCGTGATCTCCATGGCTTCCTGTCATGCTCCCTTTGATGTCAGAACACTTTGTAGTCAGCTAGAGGGCTGCAGCCTCTCATTTTCTGAGAAGAAAACGAAAAATGTGCTGTGCCACAGGATTGCGTAGGGTTTGTACATCTCTTTTCTGGATGGATATTCCAGTTACATGCACACGCAAATGACAGGAAAAAAAGTTAAATAGATTTTTGCTAGCTTTATTGTCAACGTTGCCAGCTGGGATGCTTAAAATGAAATATGCATCTCAACGTGAGACCCTACGCAGCCTGATTTCTGGGAGCCCAAAATACATGTGTCCTGCTTCTGCAGCCTGGGACTGCCCAGGGCAGGGAAAAGGTTTGTTTTCTGTTTGGGAAATGAAGGCAGCAGCCCAGCTGCCCGTTATTTTGCCCAAATGTGTGATTAATCTCAAGTCAGAGGAGAAAAAAAAGTGAAGTTTGCCATCTGGCTGGGGTCTTGCCTGTAGAAAAGCCCTGTTTGTAAGCACTTGGTGAGGCATTACTCACGGCGTGGTTCTGGGAATTGGAGTGAAAAAAAAGATAACTGTGTCAGACGCTAAACTTGCACAGAATAACTCAGATGGCTCATTAAAGAAACCAGTGGGAGACACTTGAAATTTTAAAAGCCACATAGCTTTTCAAGATAGAAACATGGAACTCATTTTCAGTGGTATAAAATCCAGGATACTTTCCCGCGTAGCCGTGGGATGCAGCCAACCCAAACCCCCACTTCTGGACAAGCTTTGTTTTAGGAGATGTTTCCCCAGACAGCACCTATTTCATTTTGTGAAATGGTAAAGAAATGATGTTGGGAGGTTTACTTCAATTTTTATTTGCCTCACCAAGATACCTTGTAGCCCAGAGCGTGTGCGTCAAAGTGGAAAGCAAAGACATTTTTCCCCTTCCTTATGGCTCCTTAAAAAAAATTGTTACTGGGCACGGCACAGTCACGCATCCCTGTGAAATAACATTTTTGCATTGAGCAAGAACAGTGCGATGGAGGTGACACTTGTGCAGTTGGATTAATAAGAGAGGAAGCAGTAACCAGCGGCCATAAGTACAAATTGCAGCTGGTAAAACTGTGGCTGTGAAAAATAAATAAGCACCCATCAAAGAGGGAGGGAGGGATCAGGCGACACCCTGTAGAGATGGAAGGAGGGGGTTGAAAACTCAGCAGAAAAACATGACTTGTAATTAAAGAAGTCATTCTAACTTTATTTTTCCACATAAGGCTATAGCAAACAAATTCTCCAGCAGAGTACCCGGGGCACCAGGAGGAGAGGATGGCATCAAAGCTTGGTTGAGCACCTCTAAAGAAGATTTAAATTTAAAAGGAGTTAAATGAAATTTGGTTTTGCTGTCTGAAGGTCTGGGTCTCGGGTAAGAGATGGCTTACAGCTGTTGCCAAAGCTGAGGTGTTTTAAAGTGCCTGCCCATCAGAAGGACTTTTGGGGGGAAAAAATAAGCTGAGAAGTAAGTTTAGATAAACTCTTTCTTTACCCTAAACCTTTTCTTTTTCCCTGAGCTTTACACATGTTACTGAAGTCCCCCAGCAGCACATGCAGCAGGCAGGAGTTACAGTGCATATTTTGCAGCTGGCTGGAGCCAGGACTGTATTTAGGGAACGAGCATCGCCTAATTGGGAAGGAGAAAGGTGCCTTTTACGAAGGCATATATAAAATCCAGAGGCATTGGAGAAAAGGACCATGCCATCCACCGTGCTGCCTCTTTGGGCTCGTGGTGTTCAATCAAAGACGACCTATAAATACTGCAATTTATTGTTGCCTGCTCCTGTGGTTTGGGGTGTGGGTGGTGCTGGCCATCAGTCCCTCCCTCTCAGATCCAGGGGGAAAGCCGAAGGCAGCTTTGTCATTTAATTTGCGAGCTTTTGATGTCAGTGGGAGCTAATTAAATGGTGGACTGTTAAAGCCCTTTTTGGAGGGCCATCTGATGCGCCCGCTGGCTTGCGTTGCAGTTCATTCATTCCATTATGTTGCATCTTGCTTGGCTAATTTGGGCGTCTTCAGAAGAAAAGAGCCGAAAAGAAAGGGATGCATGGACGTGCTGGCTGCCCCTGTGCTTAAAACGTGAATTTCCCCCCCTTTGCTTTGCTATCCAGGTTTTCTTGAGAGCAGTGCCACGTGCGTGGTGTGGTATATTCTGCAGCCTGCTTGGCGCGGGTGGGCTGGGAGAGACGTGTGGTCTCCCCGCGGCTCGGTTGGCGAGGTTTGAGCTTAAGGCTGGGGAGCAAAATGAATTCAGGTTTTCTCTCCTGATTACATTGCCTCTGCCCGCCCCAAAGCAGGCTCCGGCTGCCAGCGGGACACGCACGAAGTGGTGGCCGTACCCTGACTTATGGTGACAGAACTGAAATAGAGAGTAGTAACTGCAGACCAGAGCTATAGCTCTTGTGTAGGAAAGGTTTTAACTCAAAAAGAATAATTACAGGGAAACAGCGGGTGCCTACTTGAGATTATATATATTTTAATCCATCTTCTGTTTAATTTCAGTTTTCTCCTGCGTTATTTAGTAAAATGAGGGATTTTATAGAGGAAAAGGACCCAATTGTGGCCGTGGATTCCTCCCCCAAAACCCCAAACCTCACTCAGGGGAGCAAAAACGGGGTGGAAGGAACCAGTAATCTGAATATTCATGGAAAAAAAAAAACCCTATTAGAAACATTTTACGCAGTTTCTAATTAATCCTGTTACGGTATAGATTGGGTGCTTATATTTTCCCTTTCTGACACATAACACTTCAAAATTCCTGAAGGGACAGTAGCTCTGCAAAGGGACCGGAGTGCATGAACCCAGAAGGATGCTGTGGATGAAAGCAGAGGCTTTTTTTTTTTTTTTTTTTTTTTCCCTCTGCCATCTGATTTTGTGTCACGCCACTTCCCTCTTTTGCCTTGCCGAAGGGGAGCTCCGCAGCCAAACATCCATCCCAGTTGCTGTGGGCTTGCTGCTGCCGCGCAAAGTCTCTCCGGACGGGGTTTCCTTGGGTCAGACTTTATAGGGAAGCAGTTTTAACTTAAAACACGCTCACGTTCATGCAAAACCCTTCCATTTTGTCAAGTATCTGGAAGGGGGCAGGGTGTTCCAGCCCTGACAAACGGTGACAACTGAGCTGCTCTGACCTCCCCTCCTTCCTTCAGTTACCAGCCCTCCAAGGGAGACGCGAGGGCAGCCGGACACGCACGAGTACGCGTAGGGAAACAGCTAAACCAGCCCAGTGAGGGTGGGGTTTTTTTTTCCTCCCCTTTATGCAGCAAAATCTACTGCATAACCCTGCCAGATTGAGAGCTCCGCGGATTGCTCTTTTCTAGAGGCGTGAATAAAGCTATCGCTCGCTTCTTTGCTGATGAGCTCAGCTGCCAGTTTGGGGGAGGGGGGGGAAAGTGAAATAATGCGTTACAAGATGTGAAATAATTTGTTACAAGTCTTTATTTTATTGCAAGGTTAACCTCGTCTGCTCACTGTCGCAGGGAGAGGGTGGATGGGTTCCTTCTGCAATTAATTCCTGCCCCTGGGTTGCTTCACAGGAAAACCAGTTTTTATTATTGCCAGCCTGTTGGGATAGCTGGTTCGCAGAGTTTCACCTTTGCAGCACCGTCAGGAGGAGCTGCCTTGTGGATGAAGCCCAGCAGGAGAGGTTTCCCCACCTGGTGTTTGCTGTAGTGCTGACACTTCTTCCCATGTTGTAACCAAAGACCGGGGGGTGGGTGTGCAAAACATCTCATCTCGGTGTTTTTAACGTTCATGTCGAACACACAGGCATCAGGACGCCGGTGCTCACCAGCAGCCTCTCCGCACCCCCTGCGGTGCTGCAGTAGGAGGGCGAAGGCTTTGAGGGGCCTGGTTTTGAGGCATCTGTTGAACGGGCTGGGGGCGAAGCTTATTTCAAGCCTCTTTGAAACACGACATATTTTCGTAAAGGCAGTTTTCCGTGGAGGAACACGAGTTGTCCGCTCCTCTGCCTGCGTTGGCGGCGGTTGGCAGCCCACGACATCTACGCTAACCCTGTCCCCTCCTTCCCTTGCAGTGACGATGCAGCAAGTGGCCAGGACGGTGGCCAAGGTGGAGCTCTCCGACCACGTCTGCGATGTGGTGTTCGCGCTCTTCGACTGCGACGGTGAGTGACCCCCAACCTCGC